CAGTTTTTCCCACTAATCTCCAAGGTCCAGGGCAATACTGGAAATCTGGTCCGATTCAGGGTTTCAAGTAAACCTACACTGCATGTGCTTTGGGTCTCACCCTGGTAGCTGAAACAAGCCACCCCAACACTTGGAAGCACACCAGTGTCAGCCTTAGCAGGAAAAATCTCCTCAGACTTATCCAACTGCTGTGAACATTCTAAACTAACACGAGTCTCATATGTGTCCAGTTTAAGGGTATTAAACAGAAACACACCACAAAACATGAATCAAATATGCACTTTATTCATTTACAATAAATGTCATAAGTACATCAATCTGATTGGAGCTAAGGGCATACAATTGTCTAACACTGCCTTCGTTGCCCATCCATGGCACGACACTCGACACTCAGCCTCGGGGAGACAAAACGATGCTGGTTGAACCGACGGGTCCGCTCGCCGCAACCCACCGGTTCAAACCCCTTGACCCAACGAACTCGCAGACCGGCTCACTCAGAGCATCCGTCCCGCCTATGGAAGACTTGTCACACATGCCCCATACGGAGGGCGGCCCTGATGCAGCAACCCACTCGGGCACGAGGCATGGACTTGGCTTCTCCAAACCCACTTGCATGGACTTCCCAGTTGGAGCTGAGGCCCTAACAGCTTCGCCACTCCACTGCAGGGTACACACCTTGTGAGATGAAGCCAATGGCACCTACCAATGTTAGCACTCCCTTCAACCGAAGTCAAAGCCCTATCCAGGCCCCCGCCTCGGCCTCGGGAGCGGGGGGCAAGTGATGTAAGCACATTTGGCTCTCCCAATACGGGGCTGATGCGTGTCAGACGATGGGCGGCAGCAGGGGTCGCCATAAGGACATGCGGACCCTTTCGGTATGAACCGGACAGGCCCAATCACAGGGCACTGCGTGTCCTCCGTTGGAACATCTCACGAACCCTTGTACGGCTCGCATCTGGGCCATTCGAGCCCAACCACTCCGAGGCAGTTCCGACTATAAATGCAAGGCACCTCCCACAAGGTAAAGGATCCAGAACTTTTGAGGTCTCTCATATCCTCTCCTTTGAGGACTTAGTGCTATTGGTGACCTCGTCTGGACCCCTCGGCTCCAGACTTACTACTTACCTCGCGCAGACACTAACTTGACCGTTGGAGTCCTTGCCTCGGGTTTCCCCCCAAGGCCTCTAACACTCTCTTCCTTGCAGAGCAACTTCCAAGAACTCCTCCAGACCCCTCGTACGCACAAGTGAGCAACTGTATCTCAGTCTCCTCGTACGCCCTTCTCAGTACTACCCCTCGGCCTCTACAATATCCGAGGGAACGATACACCTCGCCTTGACACATCCTCTCTGGACCCTTAAGGACTTCGGCCCTCCTTCGAAGCTCGAGAGTGAATTTACTTTGTTGCCCTCGGCTAATCCAATATCAACAATATGCATTTATCTTAGGGTTTGACTATGATAGTGAAAAGACATGATATCTAAAAAATTAGTGGCCAATCAACTTGTATGATAAACATGTTGACCAATCAATGGAATTCATCAAAATTTATAGGTGGGCTTTGATTGGTCACATTTCTTTTGGTACCGTGTCTTTCTATTTTCCCATTTATCTATTCATGCATGGATGAATGTCACGTGTCATAAAGTTTAAGTTTGAAATTTTTTTCTAAAACATGACAATTATGTTTTTTTTCACTTAATTGTTAGTATCTCATGTATTCCATCAATCGCAATGGTCGGACGAGCATATCCCTTTAGGCTCCATCAACATCGATACACTACACAACCCACCCTATTTTTTGCCGGTTGAATTCGCCCAAACTTAATAACAATCCACAAAGCTCATCATATAGAAGGCTGTGATCCGTAGTTTTAGGGGATGACTATAACCATGTGTGATTTCACCACCACAAATTGTATTCGAACTTGATTAGTATTGGCTCATTTAGGTTATATTTGGTTTGAAAGAAAAAGTAAGGAAAGGAAAAAAAGGTAGGAAAACCTTTACAAACATAGCTTTAAGGATGACAATTTTCCTCCATTTTCTCAATCTTTATAGGACCTGTCCTCAATGGAGTGGGGAATGTTGTTGATTTTTCTTCCAAAGGGAAGAGAATGTTGAAATTTTCATTCCTATTGGTAGAAACGGGGCGAGATTTAAAAAATATGGTTAAATATTTTTTAATATGATTGTAATTTTTAAATATTTTATTTTACTTTTTAAATAAAATAATAAACAAAAAATAAAATAATTGACATCATAAAAAAATTACAGGGAATGGGTATCCTCCTAGGGATGGGGATCTTCGTGAAGACAAGGATAGGGATAACCTTATCCCTGCTAGTAGGACATTCTCATTAATCAAAATTTGTATCAAATGACCATATGCAGTAGGGCTGCAACTTGGGCCAGGTTATCCTGAATCCAATCCCAACCTTATAATATTATCCAATTATATGTATAAATATGTATTTATGGACGTAAATACTTATGTATAACTATTGATGCATGTATTCATAATTATGCATTTATATATGTTTCTTTTTTTTTGTATACACACGTATGCATGTATGTTGCATATAAAAAAATTAAGTTTAGCAAATTTTTCTAAAACATGATAATTATATTATTTTAGACATAAATAATACTAATATTGACTTAATAAGAACCCTTCAAATCTAGGAAATAAGTACATTTGGCAAAATAAAATAAAGTATACTCACAACAAAAATTGTACCAACACATTATCAACATGATACGTGTCCACACATCTTAACTTGAAGACTTTAATGGGGTTCACCTTATCAACACATTATCAACATGATACAAAAATTGTACCATTAGAATGGGATTCGTCTTTTTGTGATGTATAGACATGGATCACGTTGGAACTTCTTGGAACTAATTACAAAGACCCCTTGTATGGGGTTAAGTGACAAAGATTCCCTTGCATTTTAATTTGTAGTAGAAACCCCCTAAACTTTAGCCGTTAGACAAATACCCCCCTCCACTAGCGTTCCATCAGTTAAATTCGAACAAAATTTTCTTTCAGTTGTTTAAAATTTTTTTAAGTCCCCAAACTATCCTTTCTTATTTGTTTGAACAGTGAAAAGACATCACCGACCAGATCACCATAGATTTTGATGACCACGGTGTCAATTGTCTAGTCCTCTTTAATTGGTAGTTTTTGTCCTAGAAACCCACATGACTGGTGATCTTGCTATTGTGCTAGCAAGATCGTCTTATTCTATTCATGTGGTTAACAGGTTGTGAATGTTGAGGGTGAGTGGTGATCGACACTGGAAGGGGGTAGAGGTGTAAGAAAAGGGAGAGGAAAAAATGGTGATTGGTAAGCAACAGACTAGGAAAGGGAATACAAGTTTAGATTAGGTTAGGGTTTAAGAGAAAATGGCAATGAAAATAGAATAAAGAAAGTTTAGGTGGGTATTTTGGTAATTTATTGCATTTTGTCACTAGACCGTGGTTATGGCTCTTATGGAGTAGACCTGAACATGGGTCGAGTAGCCTGATGGACCGGGCTGGCCTGTCCCGTTCTAACTTCTAAGTTGGGCTTGGAGCCTTTGACACTATTTTAGGCCTACAAGCTCGGATTCGGGCCTAAAACATCAGGCTTGGTCTTTTTTCGGGCCAAGCTTAGACTTTCTCAAAAAATCCTGAGCCTGACTTGATAATATATATTATATAATAAAAAAACATATTTTATTTTATAAAAAATATATACAATATTTTTTCTGTATCTTTTTTATATCTTTTCAAGTAATAGTTAGATCTTCTATTATTTTTGAGTTTTGAGGACTTTTAATATAAATAAAACACTTTTTATTGAATAAAAAAATTATGTTTTCAAATTTCTAGTTAAGCTTTGGCTTTAGGCTTTATATGAGGGTTGGGCTCAAGCCTAAATGTATTATGTTGATACATAGGCAAAAGCAGCCCGAAGTCGGCCCAACCCGACCCATGAACATGTTTACTAGGGAGTATTTGTCGCATGATAAAAATTCAAGGAGTCTTTGTCACTGATCCATAGTACAAGGGGTCTTTGTAATTTGCCCTTTTGTTGTAAGGGCAGTAGGAATAGGGGTGAGAAAATGGGTAGGTTGAATTAGGTTTTACCTAGAATCGAGTGGAACCAATATCGAACCAGCCTTGAACCGACCCTACCCAATCTGATATAGGGTAGGGTCTAGTTCCAAAAATTCCAAATTTTTGGAACCGACCCCACACAGACAGGTTCCAGGTCTAGAGATTTATCCTACCTAAACTGACCTTGGTTGTCCTTGATGGAACCTACCTTTGAACAAAACTTGCATTGAAATAAACCCCTAAATACTTTTGGGGAGATGAAGATTTGAACCAAAGAACTGATGATTAGAAAGGCCATGGTCTCACTTGACCATTGAATTATTTAAGTTATTTGATCATTTGTTTTCATTTTAATATTTCAATGTATACAATAAGTAATGTAAAAGATAATATTTATAAAGTGTAACTTTAAATTATAAATTTTGAACCATATAATGATAATCTATATATTAAGTTATACTCAATTTAATCAATAAAGATAATATAAGTTTTAAACTATATATTATATTTATCGACAACCAAGTTTTTAAAGAATACATTTTTTTTTTTGAACTGGGGAGAAATAATGAAAGAACAGATTCCAATAGTAGACCTTAAAACCGACCCTGAAACCACCGAGCCAGGATCAACTTTCATAGGGTAGGTTCAAACCGACCCCTATAACGTAGATTCCAAATTTTACCATATAAGCGAATCGACCTGACCGATACTCACCCCTAATCGGGAACTAAGCCCTACTTGAACCCAACTCGAAGTTTGAACCTAAGCCCAAACTTCAACCCAACCCGAAGTTTTAGGGCTGGGGTTCAACAATACGGGTTGAGTCAGGGTTGACCTCAACCAGGCCCGACTTGCACCCTAGTAGGCGGGGCAAGCTCCACAGGGTAGTGGTACTGGCGCAGTCTCATTAATTCTCAATTTCTCGTTCCGTTACTCCGAATCTGCCTCCCGAAGGGCGAGAGAAAGCTCAGTTCTACAGAAAAAAGAGGGCCAGAGCGAATAGCTAGCCAGGGTACACCTCACCCGTAATGGCCTCACCCGCCGCCTCATCCTCCGAAGAGGAGGACATGCCCGCCACCGCTGAATCGTCCGGCAAGGATTCGGGTTCCGATGCTGGAAACAACGACGACGACAGCGATGTTGCAGAAGTAGACGAGGAAGAGGAAGAAGATGTCGACGGAGAAGAAGTCGTTGAGGATGATGATGATGATGATGATGATGGTGGTGGTGGTGATGAAATAGAAAAAGCAGATGATTCCTCAGATTCGCCAATATCAGCTGATCAGGGCAAGAACGGTTAGTTATTACTTAATGTCTTATTAATTTTGGGCCTCTTAACCATCTTTTACCGTTCTTGAATTTTTCCTTTGTTCCACTATTTATAATTTAATATTCCCACTAGCTTCAGTCTTGTTGCATTTCTTGTATTAGTTATAAATCCTTACCTGGATGCTGGATATTTCAATAGGATGAAACTTTACTTGGATATTATTTACAAAAACTTTGTTTTTGGGACGCTGAAAAAAGAAGAAGAAGAAGAAGACAAGAAGAGAAAAGGGGGGGGGGGGTGAAGCACTACGGAACCACCGGTGTTGGTGGATTATTTCAATCTATGTGGATGAGATTGTTCTACAGGAAGGGGCACTTTCGTATTACCGGGGTTCTCGTGGGATGTGCTTTATTGCTCAAAATATCGTATATTAACAATGTATCAAGTGGCAGATTAAAGTGAATATTGAATATCAAAAAGCGGGAGACTACATAGAGGATCTACTCTGGTGCACAAATATAATGAAGCAGCTTCCGACAGCACAAAAGAAGAGAAAGGCCTACATAGTATGATTGTAATGGAGCTATTACTAATTCTGACGGGTTTTTTTCTTGTAAATCCTTTCTACATTCGATGTTTGCCACACAATCTTCTCTTCATTTTCCAGTCAAAGAAATTTGGTGCCTTCCTATTCCCCCTAAAATCAGTGCTTTTTGTTGGGAAGTTTTTCATGGTTGTATTAATAACTTTGATGTACTTCAAAGGAAAAGACCAAATTGGTGCTTGTCCCCTAACTGGTGTGTCCTGTTTAAATTGAGTGGTGAGACTGCTTTTCACCTTCTTATATCTTGCCCTTTTGTCAGTTTTATTTGGAATTGGTTTACTTCCCTTTTTGAGTGCAAATGGTCTTCTCCTGACAGGGTGGAAGGTTTATTCAACCTTAATGGTATCAGTGGTAAGACAAGGAGGGGAAGGATTCTTTGGAGGTGTACTAGAGCAGCAATAGTTTGGATCATTTGGGAGGAAAAAAATGATAGAATATTTGCAAGTAAAGAAAAATGCAAGGAAGCTTTAGTTGAAACAATAACATTGAGCGTGGCACATTGGGTAAAAAGCTTGAAGCTGTTTTCAGCTTTTAAGGTTGAAGACTTTTTCAGGGTTTGGGGACTTATTCCTGCTTCATCATCTACGAGACGATAGTTTTTTGAGACTTGGTCCCCTCCAACAGATGGTTGAAAGAAGCTGAACTTTGATGGGAGTTGTGTGGGTAACCAGGCCCTTCAGGTATTGGGGGGGGGGCATCAGAGATGAAAATGGATTCATTATTGCTCTGTACTCTGGTCCTGTGGAGGAGGGTGATGTGGTAAGGGCAGAGTTTCTAGCTGCAGCATATGGGGTTGAGAAGGCTAAAGAGTTGGGGATTAATAGACTGATCATCGAGGGAGACTCAAAAACTATGATAAAATGGTTGCAGAAAATGGAAGGGGTGACATGGCAGTTGAAGAATGGTTTCGGAAGATTTAAATGGATGTCAAGGAACATGTCAATTCAGGTGGGATGGGTTAGGAGATCTGCCAACAGTTTGGCAGATAGCTTAGCAAAGCAAGGGGTTCAAAGAACATATATGTTTTGGGCACATTTGTAATTCTGTCCTGGGTCAGCTTACTAAGCTGATTTCTTTTGCAACATCTTGTTGTATCCTAAAGCATTTTAATTAATGAAATTCTTTCAAAGTTATTGATAAAAAAAAGATACTAAAATTTGAAGAGCATTGTATGGTATTCATTTCCCTAGGATTCAATATATCTGAATAGACATGTGTGGAAGAGCTGTAAATAATCTAAGTTTACAGTAGTATGGATTTCATACTTATAGACAATTAAAACAATTGAAGTCTAAATCAAGGGGATCATAAGTACATAATAACTGTAAATAGACTGTGTTTTAAATTGACATGTAATCTTGTATACATCAACCATAGTTTTCAAGGCACCAAAGCGAGGCTAGGCGACCAGAGGGTGCCTAGGCGCCTAGGCGTTGGAATTTTAAAATGTTAGTTTTCTTGAGTTTTTACTTTATCTATACTTTTCTAAGCTATTTTATTGGTTTTGTGTGCTAACTAGCAAGCATGTACACTAACTATTAACACTATAAATCATTCAAATGAGTATAAATTTCATATAAAAAGCTAAAAACATAAAATATTATCAATTTAGCAATTAGCATGTATTCATGACTTCATGTTCAACATTAAATATATTATTTTCAATAAAAAGGAGTCTAAACCAACTAGGCAACTATACTAAAAAGTTAAACGAATAAATACTAAAAATATTTTTTAAATTCACAAAGAGTCAAAGACATACATTTGAGTTTGAAGTGAATGTTGAGCTTGAGCATTGTCCTTCTTGAGTGCTATCTCTTTTCTCACTTTTCCTTTAACACACACTAAAAAAGATCAATAATAAATTAAACAAAAAGCATTGTAAATTTACAATAAATGAACAAAGAATAAAAGGAATTATGTAGAAAACTAGGAATCAAATCAAACACATACCTTGATTGAAATTTATCTATTCTAGGCATTGAAGAAGAGATGAGTGTGGTTCGGCTGTTTCTATTTTAAAACTGAAAAAAAAAGTGCTGGAACTAGGAAGGGAGGAGAGGAGTATAGGGGCGGAAGAAGAAGAGGAAGAAGAAGAAGTATAGGGAATTAGGGGCAGGGTATAGGCCCCTGTTTTTTCGAAAAAAAAGGGACTGAGACTATCGACTGAGAACAGAAGAAGAAGAGGGGATTAGGGGCAGGGAGGAGTATAGGGGTGGAGCCTCTGTTTTTTTTTTTTTTTTAAAAGGGACTGAGACTAGCGATTGAGAACAGTCAGGGGTGGAATGAGTGGAGCTGTAGACGAAGGGAGGAGTATAGGGGCGGAGCCTCTGTTTTTTCGAAAAAAAAAGCAAAAAATGACTGAAGTTGGGTTACGAACTGAAGCTGGAAGTTGGGCTGGAGATGGAGCTGGAAGCCTTTGGTTCTCCTCCCTCTTCAATTGAGCAAAAACCCTTGCAAGAAAAAAAATTAAATGAACAGTGTATTTTATTAGTATTGGCTTAATAATAAAATGTTAACATGTAACCAGTTCTATTTTATAACAACATAATAGCCAATAAAAATATCAGAATAATAAATATGAAAAAAATAATTTCTTAAATTTATTTAGGCGCCCACCTTGTATTTAGGTGCCCGCCTGGTTGCCTAGGCGCCTGCCTAATTCTCTGGGCGGTCACCTAATAGGTGTTTGGGCGAGGCGACACTGTAAAACTGCCTAGGCGTCGCCTTGATAACTATGACATCAACACATCTACGATACCCAGATTGGATGGGGGCATGTACACAAATATGGGAAATGGGGGTATGCCGTCATTTCCTAAAATCCTGGATATAGATACAGGTATGAGCATCCCATATAATTTGCTTATATCATTATATCTAGTTTTTGAAGCTAAGCTTCATTTCTGAAGACTTATGTCTTGCCAAATTTATTTAAATTCTATATGAACATATATCTTAATAGTTTTTCTGAGAAAAGGTAAAGTATAATTGTATTAAAGCAAAAAGGTCCTTTATACAATGAGAAGCTGTACAAAAATCTGCCAAGAAGGACCTCTCAAAAAGGCCATCCTCAAAAAGGCACAGTCAGAAGTATCCTCTTTAAAAATAGTATGTATATACAACCAACTCCTAATAACCCCTATAGGCCTATATCCATATTGATGACCTTGGCTTCGGAGGAAGTTTTGTGTTAAAAAATCCTGTTGTTCCTTTCTAGCCAGACAGCCCACAGAATTTCCAAAGGAATGGAGGACCAGCAAACTTTCCCTTTCTTGGTCAACCCAGATATGTGCCATTCCTCCAACAGAGCTTTCACTGAGACAGGCATGCACCAACTTAGTGAAAGCTCTGTTGGAGAGCCTGTAAATATGCAGTGGTGGAAAGGGATGCAAGTTAGTGGCTTGTAAATACGTGGTGGTGGTGTTTGGTACTTTGGTTGGGATGCTTTGGAGGTGAAGTTTTCTTATGGAGTATTCGTTTGATAAGGAATAATGAATTTCCAGTCAGACTTTCTTGATTTTGTTTCCTCCAAGGTTGGGAATGATTAGGCCATACAATCTGGGAAGTTGATTGGGCGGGGTTGGAAAATTCTGTGATCTTTGCCCACGTTTGTATAGGTTAAGCAAGAAAAAACACCTCTATTGCAGAGAATTTTGAAGTGATTCAAGGAAGGGTGGTGTAGTATCCAAAGTTCAGAAGATCCCTTTGGATTGGGAGTTTGGGGAGTGTGTCGAACTGCCTTCAAAATTACAATCGATTGAGATGCAGGTGGATAGGAGGGATTTGAGGTGGTGGAAGGAATCCAATAATGGTAGATTCTCTATTAAATCTTTCTATTTGGCCCTATTAAGGAATCAAGTAGAGAGATCAGAGGTGAAATGTGTACGGGGAAATCCGATTCCACCTTGGGTGGAAGCATTTGCATGGTTTGTAGCTTTGGAAAGTATATGTTGGATCACATTCAAAGTAGGGGTATCCAGTTTGGCTACAGTTACTTTTGTGAAGCTGCTGAAAAGAATGTATTACACATTTTGGCTGTCCCGTTTTGAAATTCATATGGGGATTCTGCTTTGGACTTTTCAAAACTAATATGGTGGAACCAAGGACTCCTTTGTCTTCTTTACTTCAGCTGCATGAAGGGGTGTTTCTACAACTCTAAACTTGATAGTAGGATTTCGATCCCCCGCCCTATCCATCTGGTGTCTTTAGCTGCACTTCCCTTTTCAAGTCTTTGCCTTATCCTGCTCAACCTGGGGTACCATTCCCTGTAAAATAAGTATGGTGTTGCTCTATCCCCCACAAAGTGGGTGCTTTTTTGTTGGGATGTTTATTATGGTGCAATCAACACATGTGATCTGATACAGAGGAGGCGGCCTGGCTGGTGCCTTTCATTGAATTGGTGCTGTTTGTGTGAGATGA